AGTGTTGAAAACACCTTTAACTTCTGGAATACCCCACCGGGTCATGGCATATGAGTATATTTACTGAATTTGATTTGTTCAAATTTTACTTAGAAATTTCTTGTTTATAAATAAAATGAAACATTTTTGTATAACTTTAACATGGCTACAATTTAGTTACATGATGGGTTTAAAAACAAGTTGGGAAACTATCGTTTGTGTGTCTTTTAATAGTTTAAAACACAGATATATTTATTAAGTTAAATTAGAAATCAGCTGGAAAACTCTGCGTGTTATATCTTATTTTTATTGGATTAGTCTCAATCTTTCCAATTTCTATATAGTCTGATTTTCTCACTCTTCTTGGGTCAATTGGGCTGATACTATTAACACTTCCTGTATCTGTGACTATATAATCAATTTATATTCCATTTCTTGTTTATTCTGGTGTGTGATTTGTTTTATTTTATCAGGTTTGTCAAGCACTTTTCTATTTTTTTTTCAAAGAGCTAAATTTTGCTTATTTTACTAGTTTGTCTTGTTCATTTCATCTGAATAGTATATAACTAACTTGTCTTTATATAAACATTGCTTTCATGTTATATATTGAAACCATTGTTAGTCTTTATGATAAAATAACATGTCTCTGAATTTCCTCTTAACATAGTTTTACTTCTAAACCATATATCCTGATATGGTTTATATTTTTAGTTAATTTTTGAATGATTTATACTTTCATTTTTATCTTCAGTTTGCTTCAAGAATTATCTAGGAGGCAAAGCTGATGGTGACTTCTGGGACCCTGCTATAGCTGCAATGATTAATATTACTTCTGGGAACCCAACAAGCAAGGTTTCCAAATGGAAACCCCTCCTCCTGTTTTCACTCCCCAGTCTCAGCAGGTGCAAAGGGGAAGGAGAAGAGAGTAGGGAGAGCGGGTGAAGACAGCCTTCTTTCAGATGACTGGCAAGGGGGCTTTGCTCTGAACACACTAGTTCCGGCTGTCTCAGGCAGCTTCCCCTTTCCTGAACGGGCTTCCTAGACAACAGAAAGTCTCTGTGGTCTCTCCTGTAGGTAATTCAAGGCCTCTTGAAGCACTATTTTATTCCTGAGTCTAATGTTAGGTTTATTAGTCACACTGCTCTGTCATAGAGTCGGGAAGGGAAATGTTCTGTGAAATGCATTTAGCATGCTGTCCTCAGTAGTTTTTTTTTTTTTTTTTCCTGAATATTTTTGGAAACCCTACCAATTATCACCCTTCCACTACTGCTGTTTTAACCAAAACCCTTATTAGCTCCATCCCGGACTACTGAAATGATTTCTCAACTGGAGCATCTCCTGCTTGCATCACCCAAAACCAATCTGTCCCTCATAATTTTAAAACGTGTATGTGAACCTTCTTGCCATAGCTCTCAGCGGTTTGCGCTGCTTACAAGAGCATCATTAAGTCCAAATCCCTGAGGGTGGCATACAGGCCCCTTTCAAACCTGGACAGCCTATCGTAACAATATCATCGGAAACTCCTCTCTCCCCTTCCTCCTCCCAGGGAATCCTTCTTTACCACTTTGCCTCACTGGTCCCCCTTTTCACAGTCCAAATGGTAAAACCTCCAAGAAATTAGTTGCTTTTTTACCTGGGTCACCATTTAAGATTTTGCCTGTTCATTTACTCTAACACCAGGATCAGTTATGGCAATAGGATGGTTTAAAAAAATTTTTAACGTTTATTTTTGAGGCAGAGAGAGACAGAACATGAGTGGGGGAGGGGCAGAGAGAGAGGGAGACACAAAATCTGAAACATGCTCCAGGCTCTGAGCTGTCAGCACAGAACCCAATGCGGGGCTCAAACTCACAGACCGCGAGATCGTGACCTGAGCGGAAGTCAGACGCTTAATCAACTGAGCCACCCAGGCGCCCCCCCAAAATGGTTTTTAATTGGCCTGGATGATATTTCGTGTCAAAGACCATGTCTGACATTTATACCAAAGGAGTATGGAAGTTCAGATAAATACAAATATCCATTGTTTTATTTTACACAGAAAAATTCTTAAAATTTTTAAATTCTAGTTTTCCATTTCATATTTATTACTTAAGGATGGCAAAAATTTAGTGGTATAATATACAACACAAATCATAGACTAAAGGTAAGAGTATAAAATAGATAAAGAATCGGGAATGTTCTTTTTATCTATGAAGATAAAAAACTAGCATTGTTCTTTATGTATGGATGAAATCTAATTAAAATCACTCTGTAAGAAGCCTACCATCAAAAAATAACCAGAAGTAATCATCAGCTATTTAACAATGCAACTAAGCACAAAAGTAAACTGGTGGCTGCCACAAAATCTAGCAAGTAGGCTTCATAAAAAGCTCGACTGGCTCCTAGCCAAGAAATTAGGCACTTCTTTCCATATGGCTCCTGTTGGAAAAAAGATAAACGTGAGAGCCCAGCATCTGTGCCTTGGAGTTGCCAAGAACATCCAATGACTGACCATTCTCTTGGCTTAAATAATGAAACACACCGAAAGGGAGGACGGAAGTAGAACAACTCCTGCATTGCCAGCAGGAGAGGTGTGGGCCAAGCAGGTATCACACTACAACATAGCAACCAATTAGTTGCCAATAAGAAGGCAACATTGCTTTTGGAATACTGCAAATTTCATGCATCTTTACAACACATTACAATTTGAGGCAGGGGTGAAACTATCAATTTTCTGTTATTATGTGTTACTGTTACGAGATAAGTGGTGATTTCAGAAGACAAGTCGATGAAATAGGTAGAACAAACCACTACCATTAGCTTTTGTACAAGTGGACCAAACAAGATGGCCAAGAACTGTCACTGACCAATGGGACTTCAGGATGCTTAGGGGAATGGTGACCTTGTGACTTTGCTTAAGCAAAATCTATGGTCTTCATGTGCCCAGAGGAGAGAGGGTGACTTTTATATGGAAGCATAGTTGCTTCTTGTGAAATAAGGTTAAGTATCCAGGATGAGGTAAACTATAGAACAGAAGGCAATAGTTTTAAAATTTTTTTTTCAACGTTTATTTATTTTTGGGACAGAGAGAGACAGAGCATGAACGGGGGAGGGGCAGAGAGAGAGGGAGACACAGAATCGGAAACAGGCTCCAGGCTCTGAGCCATCAGCCCAGAGCCTGACACGGGGCTCAAACTGACGGACCGCGAGATCGTGACCTGGCTGAAGTCGGACGCTTAACCGACTGCGCCACCCAGGCGCCCCAAGAAGGCAATAGTTTTAAAGTAGCATTATCTTCATGTATCGTTTTACTCAGGAATCATGAAGGCGAAAAAGGTGGAAGTAAAGGAGGAGGAGATGACAAGAAGTATCATATCTTGGACTCACAACAAAAGAACTAAATTTTGAGATTTGCATTTATCTGTCATTATAACTGAATTATTAGAGTAAAAATGAAATTGAGGATTCAGAGAAAATTTTGCATATATCCTAATAAGAAATTTTTCTGAAAGCAGGCACATTGAGAGGATTTTAAACTGCTTTTCAGTTGATGTGGGTGGGAGGTTATCCAACGCACAGCTTGTTAACTGACTCTTCTTTCAGTCCACAGTTTCCAAAGTGTGGTCCACAGAACACTAGCTCATGGGTAATTAATATACTCTACAAATAAAGGGTTCTTTGCTCACATAGGTTTGCAAAAATTTTTAAGATAGACAAAGTTAAATAGAATTATTAGTGTAATACTTTGCAGAACTTCTAAAATGGAAAAATTTCAAAGGAGATTGAGAAGGTAGAATTTCACGAATTTATTTTACCAGTAATTCTCTCAAGGTACCCTCTGACAGGATTACTCCTCTATGAAACAAACTTTAGGAAACAAAGTATTGACATACACTTATGGGTCCATATTGCTGAAGTGTTTTCAGAAATTTCATACAGTACTTCCTATTGTTTTGTGAGAGATTTTTCTCAAGGAAAAACGACTTGTAAAGAAGGGTCTATCTAGAAAGCTAATCTTATTGGCTGATGAAAGAAGTTTCAGTAACTACACGTCTATTAAGTAAAACTGATACATTGTGTTATATTAGTTTCAGGTGTACAACATATTAATTTGACAGCTCTATACATTATGGAGTGTTCACCAGGAAAAGTGTAGTTACCATTTTCATCATTATTACAATTTTATTGACTATGTTCCTCGTGCTGTACTTTTCATCTCTGTGATATGTATTTTACAACTACCCTTTTGCATTTATTTTATAATGACCCCTTGGCTCAATCTGTAGCCTTCCTTCCAGTTTGTGTAAAATTTCAAAAGAAAATTTTTTCTTATTTTCAAGATCAATTTAAAATTTAACATGAAAGCTTATATGAAGTCATTTAATGAGGTCCAAAATATTTAATTTCAACATCTGACTTCTATGAACACACAATGGAACCCAGAAGGCAGCTGCATTAACTATTTAAAGCACTCAAAGAAAACACCTGTCGAGCAAGAATCCTATTTTCCAAAAACAAAGACAAAATAAAGACATTCCCAAATAAAAACTGAAAGAATCTGTCGGTAGCAGATAACCCTTATAAGGAATACTAAAGTTGTTAGGCTGAACGCAATGACTCCTGACAGTACTTCTAATCAACGTGAAAAACCGCAAAGCACAGATAAAGGTCATTAGGTAATTAGTAAAACGCAGTATGAATGTTCTTTCTTACCTGATTTACAAAAGCAACTGTTTAACAAGCGTCTACATATGCATACATAAAGTTTTTTATTGTATATATATTTTAAATATCCTTCCTTCCCTTGGTACTTCACATTTCCAGAGCCACCTACCTTCTCAGTTGTGTTCCATTACCAACTCTCTTCCTTCTGCTCATTTGGAGAACTTCGTTGAATGGCTAAACTTAACTTTGTCACATTTTGAAACCCAAACCAAGAAACCTCTCCATTCCATACTCCCATTAGCTACCACGTGGCCCTTTCCATTCACAATAGGAGTTACGAAGAGTTTTGTCTCTTCTTGCTTCCTCCGTGGACTCACCTCTTAACTCCCTTCGGCCAGCGCTGCTCACATCACCTCCAAAAGAGCTCTTTCCGAAGTTGCGAAGGATGGGCTGGGACCCGGCGGGCTGGGACTTGCTGAACACCCGGTGGCCTCCAACAAAGGCGGAAGCAGCTTCGCGACTGCAGCGCTGAGACCACGCGACCCCGAGACCACGCGGCCAGAAGCAGCATATTCTCGCGAGATCTCAGGAGATGCACGCGGCCCCGTGACTCCCGGGATGAGAAACGCGTCCGTGCCCAGGTGGGGCAGGTTCTCGTGTGCGGAGTTTGGTTCACGCCACTTACCACGCAGTCTGCGGTGCTCATGGGCTCCTCAACCACCCTGCAGACAGAGTCGCTGAGTCACAGCGCTGGGCGCCTGGCGTCAGGGGCCCCGGGCGGATATGCGAGGACGCAACCTCGCTGATGCTGCTGTGCACAGGAGGCGCCGCCCGAGGCCAGACTGGGGAGTGGACTGTGCATGGCCCGCTGCAAAACTGTACCCTTCCAGAACCCCCTGGAGGCCCAATACGGTGTCTGTCAACGTCCAAGGCCAGCAGCACCCAGAATGCACAGTTGCAATCTTAAGTACGGTCCAAAGAAGACCCGAACGGGAGGGAGACTGCCTGATAACACGTGGCCTTTCCGCTTAGGCCGCCTTCCACCGTGCGTTGACACCCATCCTCCACTTTCTGCTCTTCCTGCAGACGTGAGTACAGTGCGCTCCAAAGACGACTTGCCTCTGTGTCCACACCAACCCCAGACCATGTTACCCTCACCTGCCTAGGGCCTCCATTCGCTAAGGGAACAGGCTGCCGCAACTCTGCCCTGGGCCTGGGTACAAGCGGATTTAGGGTCGGCGGGGGCTTGGAGGGACTCCATCCTGGTTGCCCTGGACAAAGGCTCATGGAACCTTAGGCTGGGCCGTGCACCGGGCACCCACATTGCACGGGCACACACCAGCCTTCCGAAACCATGGCAGAGTAGACGTTCTCACCACTAGGTCTGGGCAAGATGGCCTGAGGTCAAATTGAGAGCAAGGAAAAAATACCTCTTGCTCCAGGAATCCAAGGTATACTAAGGAGTACCCAGTGTAGGCTGCTCCGAAGGCACCTTGGGCTCTGAGTCATGTACACTGCTCCCCAGAAAAAGCTAGATGTTCAGCCAAACAGTGCACTTTACTGCAGTGCAAGAAAAAATAAACATGTACAAACGTCCGGGCCCACACTCACTCACGCACGAATACAAACACCCAGGCACTCATACACAACCTTATGGCCAGTTGTTTCTCGACAGCTGCTAGATAAGAAATCTAAAACCTGTTTTTGCCTCATCACTTAACTTGACTTTTCAGCAGAATTTAACAACTTGAACACTCCCTACGTCTTTAAATAGTATTTTCCATGTTTTTATAAATTTGACACAGTATTCTCCTGCTTTATTTTCTCGCCACTAACACAATCACTTCTTCCCAGCGTCCATTGGACCATTTTATTCCGCTTTTCAGGCATCAATTTCCTCAACACACAGCTCCGCTCATTCTTTTCTTCCTCCTCAGGTCGTCTTAGCTGAGTCATCATAATTTATATATATACATACTTACATGTTTATACATGTATGTATATATGTATATACACATATGTGTATATTTTGATATGTATCTGTATAAGTATTTTAATATATGTGATTTCAATATATATGATTTCAGTATATAATTTAAGATATGCTTTGATATCATGATTTCTATATATATATATGTATATATATATATATATATATACATATATATATAATTTAAGATATGCCTTCATTGACTCTGGTTCCAGGATTGTCTCTCTACTGGCCTGAGTGTCATTGCCACTTGGGTGTTTCATCAAGTATTATGTTTTTGCCTCTTACCTCAGCTCTAAACTCACCCGCTGTGCTCTTCTTGGTGACAACTCTGGGGCTCTGAAGCCACATTTCTTCTTGGCCAACTGGATTCCTCGTAGCCTCTGCAAATAGGGGGGTAGGGGCTGACTGGAAGCTGGGGGAAGGAAGAGTCTCAATCCTGTTTTCTCTCTGTGTGAGAGTTTGCTTCTGACGGACTGACCGACGTTTTGTTTGAGGTTCCTATCAGTGTGGATGCTTCTTCCCTCCAGCAACAGAACGTCTTTCCTGCACCAGCAACTGAAACCATTTGCATGTTTCCTAATACTTGGAAGAAGAGCTTCAACTCCGAGAAACCAGAAAAGGTGTCAGTGTCCACTTGTCAGGCCTACAGGAGCCCAGTCTTTGAGTTCAGAAATGCTCCAGGCCATTTGAGGTACCCCCCCCCCCCCAGAGGTGACTTTTTGGTTTTCTGAGACCCTCCCCTGCAATCCTGCGTTTTTCTTGGTGTTCCTTGTATTTCCTCATCTGGAAGGATGGCAGCTGTTTCTGCAGCTTACACCTCTGGGATGTCTTCATTGTTTCTCTTTACCCTTTCATTTCTTAATTTGTATCTACTTTAACATTCTTTGTTAATGCTCCCTGTTGAAACTGCGGTATGTTTTTGTCTTCTCATTGGACTTTAACTGATACACCTGCTTAAAGTCCTTCAAACTTAATGTTTCTAACTCACGATTTGTCCTCACAGCCCGACCCTCTTTCAGCGTTTGCTACCTTAATGCATGGCATCCTCATTCACTCAGTTGTGCAAGCATGGATGTACAGTTCACCCTTGACCGTCCCCCCGCCCTGATCACATCCCTCGTACAGTCCGTCAAATCGTCTCAGTGTTACTTTTTCCCTCTTGTCAATCCATCCTTTTTCCACCTGCACAGTCAGCACCATATTTAAAGCTGTCATCGTTTCTTGCTAGATTAAAACAGAAGTTTTCTAGGGGCGCCTGGGGGGCTCAGTCAGTTGAGTGGCCGGCTTCAGCTCAGGTCATGATCTCACGGCTAGTGAGTTCGAGCCCCGCGTCGGGCTCTGTGCTGACAGCTTAGAGCCTGGAGCCTGTTTCAGATTCTGTGTCTCCCTCTCTCTGACCCTCCCCCATTCATGCTCTGTCTCTCTCTGTCTCAAAAATAAGTAAACGTTAAAAAAAATTTAAAAAAATTTTTTTCTTACTATGTTTTGTTTTTCCTTTTTCTTTTGAAGCCCAGATCTGACTCCAGCTGTTCAGTGGCTTCTCTTTGCTCTAAGAATGGAACAAAATCCTCATAGAGATTACAGGGCTCTTAGTGGCTATGTTCCTCCCTGATATGTATCCTTTATTCCCATGGTTCTGTGACCAGCTGTGCTGGACTGCTTTGAAAACTTTCTCAAATTCACAGTGTTCTCTCCTAGGCTCTTTACTCTTCCTCCACCTCTATCTAGAATGTTCTCCCTGAGATCTCCCTTTTGCTATTTGACAGTCACTCGCATTTCAGAGCTCAGGTTGAGTTTTCTTGGGCAAACGTTGTTTAATATCTGGTATAACTTAATTTCTTTTGTTCTATAATATCAAAGCATCAGATTTTCCTCTATCATGGTACATATCCAACATACTGTATATCATCTCTGATTACTGGATCCATATCTATCTCATGTCATAGATTGTCAGTTCCATGAAACCGGAATCTTGTTAACCATTGCATTCCAAACACTTAGCAACACAAAAGTGACAGGTTCACATCAGATATTTTTTAAATAAAGAATATATGAATTTGTGAATAATCATGTAAAAGAAGTGCCTTATGGATGGAAATCTACATTCGAAACAAAGAGACACTGGTACTCCCTTTCATATGGGAGGTAGACTTTGTTTATTGTAATCAATGCCTTTTTAATCCAAAAAGTATTTTTTCTCTGAGATTATAATAGTATTTTCAGTAGTTTATTTTCAGTTAAATTGATTCAATTAACGTTGTTAATATACAATTAGTGGTGAAATTATAACCGATGACCAACCTCTAGGTATGTTAAGAAGATAAATGTGGATATAAAAGCCTGATAATTTGAAGTCTAGCCAATAGCAAACATATTACAATAGCTACTTTTATAGATGAACATCTTTACATGTTATTTACAGAAGGGAAAATTGAGATCAAATGTACTATCACTCTGGAAATCCCATCATAGTAATGAAACCAAATATGTTTGCTGGGAAAGGATGTCTGTTAGAAAAAGAAAGCAAGAATATATTTTAGAAGGAAGATGCAATTTCAAATATATTCAAGGTGTTTTTTTTTTTTCATTTTAAGCAAGCATTTGAGTACCAATTGTGTTTAATAATGAGGTTTTTTTTTAAAATTTTCATTATCCAAACTGACATACAGTCTATATACACATATCCTCTACATGTTTGTCATTCTGTTGGCCAGTATCTTGAAGTCTGAATTCAAATCTAGTGAACAATTTCTCTTATATTCTAGTGATAATTTAAGAAGTTAGAAATGTAATTTTTCTAGTAGGAAAATAAAGAGACCAAATGCATTTAGCATATAAAAGCAGGGCAAGAAACAAAATTATTAGTTATGTTTATTTTTCATAAAAATATCACTTAGAAAAAGTTCACAAAAAGTAAAAAAGATTTTGGATCATTAGTTTTGTGCCCTACAGGCAAGTTTCAAAACATGTCTTTCCTATTGTCCCCTTTCACTCTCTCCTTTCAATCATTATAAAGGGAGGGGGGCAAAAATATATCTTTCATAATGGTAAGCATTAAATAGTAAAAAAATAAAGTCTGACTATGGTTTAATTACTTGGAAATTAAAAATTGCATTTCTATAATTCTAAGAATTTAAATTATATATAGTACTATTTGAGGAAAATATTGACATACTGTGCAGTTTTGCAATTCTGTTGTATGGAATATTTAAACCAGTTTTCTGAAAGCTAAGGGAATATCTGTTGTAATAGTCTTCCGCATGTGGTACATAGTAATTCACACACAGGTATTTCGACTTTCTGCAGAAAAATCTTACATTTTTTTTTTCTTGTATGAATTCAATCTCCTGTTATCCTTAGGGAATATTTTAGATACTATGGTAGGAGACAACTGTATTGATGAGAGACTACAGAGTAATGTGGGCCAACCAGACTTTTGTAAATTCCAAGGTAAAGATAGAAATAGCCCAAG